AGATTAAGCTTCAGGGTGGATATAGCTCACAAGCAGCCTCGCACTGATGACCTATCCACATCATAATTTACCCAGAATACTTTGCATGTAAATTAAATGGCCCCACCCGTGTGATATATTTTTAAACTTTTAGTTTAAAAATTATAAAAACTAAACAGCCTACAGTATTTTTACAGTCTTTATTTTACAGTTAAAATATATGTTTATCAAATAAAGTCTAATGTTACAACTAATCAGGGATCCCTTTAAGCACCAGTCCCTTTGCTTATTGATAGTTGTACAAAATTGTTATGAAAAATGAACCAAATTTCCAAACACTTAGCAATCAGGCTGCAACAATCAGCTGGTGTTAGGATCCTAAATCTATCAGTCATCAGTTACTGTGACTTACCTTGACATTCTGTATTTATTCAAGTATAATACAATCTAAAGTATAAATCGATGATCATAAAAAAAATCTAATCATCATGTTATGAGCCACCAATCATTTTTGACAGATTTCAGGCATTTTCAGCCTTTGCGGTGCGCCCTCTGGTGGCGAAACATTATTTAGGGCGACACAGCAGAGGACATGCAGCGGAAGTTTATGGTTCCGTATCAATGAACAAACAATAAACAATCCGCTCCCAGAACAGAGCAGAAGCTGGTTGGCGGATGGATTTATCAACACAAATAACTAAAGTTCAGGTCTTTTTTCCATCGCCACGTTAACAAGAAAAGGAAAACAAGTTGTTTTCCTCCTCTGACTCGGGTGGGTAAACAGTTACGTTTTATATGCTTTGCTATTCACGACTTACAACTGGAGGGAGGAGGGATGTTTCACTTATAAGATTAACACTCACCCCAACAACTATGATGATTTTGCCCTGCTTTAAGCCAACATCCACAGCAGAGGCAGTGGTATCCTTTGATGTCTTATCAGTGGTTATAATCTCAAGAAGCTGCATCTTGTCCACTGGAGAGAAGTAGTGCATTCCTATCACCTAAGGACAAGCAGAAAATATTTTACTCTTTTTTTTCTTGTAATTAAGGATTAGGTTTGTTTTTATAAACCAAACAGCTCGTAAGTTCAAACCTTCTCAGGTCTTTTGCTTGCAGCAGCAATATYCTTGATGGGCAGAGCAGATGTGTTGCTTGCAAATATGCAGTGAGGGGGCACAACCTGCGGGGAAAAGTTTGTTAGATCAAAATGAAAAATGACTGGATTCACTTCAACAAAAGCAACTAATTAGAAAGAAAAGCCTCCGTRGGCAACTTGGTGTCAGACTTACAGCTTCCACCTCCTTCAGAACGGCATGCTTGATGTTTATATCCTCAAACACTGCTTCAATAACCATGTCAGCCTTTTCAAAGCCGCTGTAATCCAGCTGACCAGTCAGGTTGGACATTATGGAGTCTCTCTCAAATGACGTGATGCTCTTCTTCTTGGTCTTGTCATTGAGCCTTATTTAAAAGTTAAAACAGCAAAATATGAACAGGTTTTTTTTTTTAAAACATCAAGTGGTTTGAAGGTTAAAGGTTGCCTTCTTAATTACACCAATCTAACGAAGTGAGCCCTTATTCTCAGATTTTATCAGAATTCTCAGATTTTCTGACTGATTTATTATTAAAAACTGATAAAATTATAATAATGGGAGATTTTAACATTCATGTTGATAGTGAAAGTGATAGCTTAAATATAGYTTTTAGTAATTTAATTGAGTCAATTGGTTTTAATCAAAATGTCCACAGACCCACTCACTCCCTTCATCACGCTCTTGATCTGGTTCTGACGTATGGTGTAGAGAGTTAGAACTTAATAATATGTCCTTTGAGTTTACATTGGCTGATTTTATAGCTACTGAGAGTTAATTTCATTATAGTAGATGTTTATCAGAGAACGCTGTAGCTAAATTTAAAGAATCTCTTCCATCTTTATTTTCATCTGTCTTACAGAATAATGTAACAGAGAACAGTAGCTTAGATGCTCTTGTTGATAATATTACAACTTTAATGCAAACCTCTTGATGAAATTGCTCCACTAAAAAAGAAAGTCATCGATCGGAGGAAGCC